TCAAAAATTTGAAACTTTAAATGATTATATCTAATAAACGAATTAAGTTATATTAAAAATTCAAATGCCATTTACTATTAAATTAAAAACTCAAACATTTTATTAAATTAAAAATATGTGTTACCATTTAAAAAAACAAAGTTTACCCCCCTCTAAAGCATAAGGGATGAACTTAAAAAGTATTACATAGTTAAAAATTCAAGAATAATGAGTAACTAAAGATAATAATAAAAAAAAAGTTTAAATTATTATTATTCTGCAAGTAATTGAGTGGGTTATGATAAAAAAATCACTCTGTATACATAATTGATGACACCCGCGCGTCTACGGGTTAGAAAATATTGTTTTCTAGGAATGGTGAGTGGGGTGGGGCGAATGCGTTACAACAGTATAGTCTCAAGGTCATACACGACGGGATACGCGAGAATAATAACACGTGCTGCGTGGAAAGTTACAAACACACAACTCACAACATACATATGAAACTAATATAAGCGTGTTAATAAGTACATAAAATATATATGTTAAATTTCTTCTTTACTGAAATTATTTAACTTAAGGAAGTCCATAAATCATTAGCAAAAATAGATCAGTAAAAACTTAAAATGTTACCATCTTAGTATACAATTAAGTATTATGTTGTAAGTTTGAAATTATATATGAAATTATTTACTTATGGATATCTATAAACTTTTCAAAATTAACAAATTATATATTTTTTTGTAGCTTTATAAAGCAGTATTAGATATGCTAGTAAATGAGGTCAAGTATTTATATTAATATTGCAAATATTCAATAAAATGTTGATATTAAATTTTCTATAGATAATTTTGTAAAGAAGAGTATGTGTGAATATATTTTATTAATTTCATTACCTTAAAAAAATTTCTTATTTCATTATTTTCGAATAAAAATTTATGGCCAATCCAAGTGCACAATGTGAAAAAGTCTCTCAGACTGGTTAGGGATGTTAACTTAATTTTCATTCCCTACTAAAGGCCTTGCCTTGTCGTTACTTGGATTGGTATATCTTGGGGAAATTTGAATGCAATGGTTATCCGTTGCCTTTTGCACTGGGAACATGATAATTTTTCGCCACTGTATAAGCTCATGTACGGTTGAGTCATCCATCAGTTCACCTACGGTGGTAGGCGTGGCTTAATACAAGAATTTGTCAACAACTAGTGTGACCACCGCGCCACACCACGCCGAACTTTATTCGATTAGAAGAGAATGTATTATGAGAACAAAAGAGTCACATTAACAATTAAAATAATTATTTTGTAGAAATATGGATCCAATGAAGAGATTCATTATTCAGCTGAGGTGAGGTTTTTTAGATATTAAAAAGAAATATTTTTTTACTTTAATTATTAAGCAAACTTTTTTTTTAAGGAAGTGTATATATATTTTAGTTTCATATTATAGAAAAACACATATTGACACTTCAACCAAAAAAAAAAAAAAACCGTATATAAACTTAGTAATCTCATCACCTGATGATGCCATCACTATGATCACATTTTGACAGTTTAAATAAGTTTAATAATGAATTTTTTAGTAGGCCAAGTTCACATTTAACTAAATTGTACTTTTTTTAAACATTTACATTGCCTCTCTTACAATAAGTCCTTTGTAATTATTTACGTTTTTAATTAATGTTATGGTTTTAATGGAACGACTATATGTCAATAAATGTTCAGTTATATGAGATTTACGAACTTCTTGAATTTTAATGTTTCTTAAGTGTTCATTAAACCTGATTGTTATATTTATTTTTGTTTGATCTATGTAACATTTATTACAATTTTCAAATTGTATTTTATAATTTCCCGATTTTCCCCTATATTCTACTTATCTTTAGGGTTACTTAATAAATCTTTTGAATTATTACTCTTAAATACTACTAAAGTAATATCAAAATTTCTAGCTAGTCCATTTAAACAGCCCGGATAATATAAAATGGGTGGTCTAATTTCTTTTTGTTCTCCTAGGCTAGTAAATGTACTAGCTGCCCTCTTTTCATCATTTTACTTTTATAATCGGACTAATTTTGAAATTATGTTTTCGTTATACATATTAAATCTATCTATTTATCTTATGACCCCCAGTTCTTTATCAAAATCTATTTTATTCATCGGAGAATTAACTAATCTGAAAAACCATATTATTAAAAACTGCCATTTTTTGTTACTAGCTGTCGTTTAAGCTATTCGGAATGTAACTAAACGTGTGTATGTGTTTTTCGATAAATTTCAAAATTTAGTTCCCCCTACTTTTTGAACTAATAAATCCAAATAAGGCAATTTTCCCTCTACTTCCTGTTTGCATGTGAATTTAATCAATGTATAAAAATAATTTGAATGTCGTATGAATACTTTCGTATTAAAATCTTTGTTTATACCTGTAAAAATATCATCAGCATACCTGACATAAATTTTCAGTAAAACCTTATAGGTGTTTTTTAAATTAGTTTCGAACCTACTCATGAAAATTTTTACTAAAAACGACGACAGCTGATAAAAATTTATTTTGAAACTGATATACATATTTAAAAAACTATTAAAATATATTAAGTTCATAAATCATTAGTAAAATATATAGAAGTAAAAATTTAAATACGCATCCATGGTAGTATACACTTTAGTGTAGTAATGTAATATATACAGAATGATTTTTTTATCATAACCCACTCAATTACTTGCAGAATAATAATAATTTAAACATTTTTTTTTTTTATGATCTTTAGTTACACATTATTCTTGAATTTTTAACTATGTTATACTTTTTAAGTTCAGCCCTTATGCCTTAGAGGGGGGGTCAACTTTTAAATGGTAACACATATTTTTAATTTAATAAAATGTTTGAGTTTTTAATTTAATAGTAAATGGCATTTGAATTTTTAATATAACTTAATTCGTTTATTAGATATAATTATTTAAAGTTTCAAATTTTTGAGTTAATATATAGGTATAATACACAAGGGATTACAAATACAGGTAGCTAATTGATTTTTTATGACATCGATATTAGCAGGTACACAGCATTGTTATTATCAATGATAGTAAGGCACATTGTTATGAGTTTATAAATACACTAACTGACAATACAGAAAGTATATCTATTGATAATCATAATTGATAATAAACAATCCGTGACTGAGACAGCAATGTCATAAAAATCCAATTAGCTACCTGTATTTACAATCCCATGTGTATTATACATGTATATTAACTCAAAATTTTGAAACTTTAAATGTTTATATCTAATAAGCTAATAAAGTTATATTAAAAATTCAAATGCCATTTACTATTAAATTAAAAACTCAAACATTTTATTAAATTAAAAATATGTGTTACCATTTAAAAAAACAAAGTTGACCCCCCTCCAAGGCATAAGGGATGAACTTAAAAAGTATTACATAGTTAAAAATTCAAGAATAATGTGTAACTAAAGATAATAAAACAAAAAAAAGTTTAAATTATTATTATTCTGCGAGTAATTGAGTGGGTTATGATAAAAAAATCACCCTGTATATGAAATTATTTAGTTCTAAATATCTATACATTTTTTAATGTTGTCAAATTGACAATTCAATTATTTTTTTGTAGGATAATAGAGCAATAAACGATTTCTTCATCCCATCAAATCAGGTGAAGTATTACAGAAATTAAGAAAAACAAATTTTTCTATGTATAATTTTGTAAAGATAAATTTATAAATTAAAAATGTATAATTACTCTAAGTGTACAATGTGAAGAAGTCTTTCAGTCTGGTTGGATGTTTGTTTAAGTATGATAACTTTATTTTGTAAAAAAGATCGTACATATCTGAATAGCTCATAAAATAGAATATTATAAAATTAAGAGAATAACTGGCTGATAATATAATTTGAACGAGTAGCGGAATTATGTACAGGGAATTGAGGCATACTTAATTACAAAATATTACTGTAATCTGTCATTTGTTCGTTAAGTCCTCAAACTTAAATTTATTTCATAAAAACCATCTGGTAATAAATATTTTCAATAACTTATAATAGTCTACATATTAATAATTAATGAAAAAAACTGGCTACTCCTATTACACCTTTAACAAATATCCTAAACATTAGTATTTTAATTACAAAATTCATATTAATCAGGCTGACGTAAAAAATCTTATAAAGAGGAATATTTGGTTAATAAACTTTTTTTTAAACGTTATTTTTTCAGTTTTTAACATTTTAAAAATAGGCTGAAGGTGAGGCGCAGGTTTTATTATTTTTATGATTAGGAGTTCTAAATCGTACTACTCCTCTTGCCTAGATAAAAAATAATGATAGCTTCTTGTGCAGTGGATCAAAAGTTGTTATTGACCAGTCATTATCTTAATTAGGTAATCTTCAAATATTACAAATACGAAAGTAGTTAAATGTTATGTTTCAATTAAAAAAACTCAAGTTAATTTTCATTTAAAGAGTAAGAAATAAGGAACAATCAAAATTTAAAAATAAAAATCAAACATATTATATTATATACATTATTGGAAAGAAAAATTAGTAATAATTTTGTGTTTTTCAAAGTATTGCACGAGATATTGTAATTGTGAGATATTTTTCTTAATTTCAAATTGAGGAGGTTTTTTCCAATTTTTAGTAACAATAGTTATGCTTAAATTAAAATTGGGGTTTTTTTTTGGAATTATTAATTGTGAAAATCGGTCCAGCTAAATTTGCATAAACACACGTAAAAAGGATTTGTAATTTTTTTTATTTTTATACGATCTTACATTATAATGTTTTCATTTGAGAAATTTTTAAAGTACTATACAACTTTTAATGGGTTTTTTAGAAAATAATTATAGAACTTCTTAAATGCAGAAATTGTCATTTTTTACGGAAGAAAAATTTTGAAATATTTTTTAAAATGTTTAAATTAAAGGGAATTTTTTATAATATTCGCATTGCTAACTTCAACTAGATTAAATTGGGATTTTATCAGCATGTTAACTAACAAAATCAATCCTAAGAAATCTGCGAATTTTTATTTTCATATATAAAATATGTGCACATCATGGTTAAACTAAAATATTCTCAGCTGTGCATCGAAGCTATAATTTATTTAAAATATTATCTTAAATTTGTTTTTTAATTTATTATTTTATATTAATTTCATATTTTTCATACACAATTAAATAATTAAGTATGGATTTTTATTAGAAAAACTATCCATTTTCATTTTTCGGCTTACAATATTTATTGGTTCAATTATTTAATATTTCTGTTGAAAATGATAAAATTATATTCAAAAGAAAAGAAAACACTGAATTAAAACCACGGAAGGATAATTCAATGGTTGCAGAAATTGCGATGTCGAACAAATCAGGTAGTTGAAATTTTTTTATCTCGTGTTTATACGAATAGGCGAAGTACATTAACCGATAGACCACCTGAGTTTCTAATTTAATATTTATGAAACTCCAAACAGCTATTATGCACTTACTATGTTGATGTGAACTATCTACAATCTAATTTTTTATTGTAGTCAAACTATAATTATCAATTATTATGAATAAAATCAATCAATATTAAAAGTAAAATCAAGATTTGACAATGGTTAAAAGGCCAAATTATTTTGTATATTTATTAGTGGACTGTAAATAGGATAAATTTGAGAGACAACAGCTAGATAGATAATTAAATTATTTAATGACAACAACTAAATAAGAAAATGCATGATATAAATGATTTTCAAATTATTGTTTAAAGACAATTAATAAAATAAAAAAATTACATGAAAGAAGACCAATAAAGTAATAACTTATAATCTTAAAATAAGTTTAACAGCGACATTAATAAAGTTAAATTTATAAATGAATAACATAAGAGTTATTACAATAATAACAAACATTTATTTTTATTTTATACTATTACAAATATAACCTGACTGAATCTCTAGAGAGGTTGGTAGTATCCAAGTTAGGTGAGCGACGGCAGCAAATGTACACAAACCATAAAATAATAAAAATAATAATATTTACTTTAGTATCCACAATAATCTTTGCGAGTTAAATTATCGGATCAATAAAGGTAAGTTGTCGCAAGCATGGTAAAATGTCGACTGATTTTGTTATGTTTTTAATTAATTCAAGAGGAAAGTAATCGGTTTATTTACATACGTGCGTCGCATACTCATAGTTGGTCTGTAGGGGTGTTTGTGCTAATCAGGCACTAGTATAGTTAATTGTTAATTTTTAATGTTGGTTAAGAACGAATAATCTATCCGTAATATTATGTATTATAAATATACACCAGGACCAGCTGTACCCAACCGCACTATATACTCGCCAAATGTATTAAAATACTAGTAACTCAATAATTACTCATCCTTAATTGTTATAGAACCATTTGAAATTTTATTAAGAAAAATGCTAAAAATATTTAAAATAATGAAAAAATTATAAATAAAATATACATTTTTTGTTATCAAGGCTTTTTTAAATACTTAAATAGTATGATATTAATATGATTTAAAAATGCATAAATTATATTTAAAAAACTTATACAGAAATAATAATTATGTCAAAAGTTATAGAGTTGTCATTTAGATCTGTACAACCGTTATGCTAATTATATGAATAATAGAATTTTATGACTTGCTAGAATATTAGAAGCACTCGATAATTCAAAACAATACATAGAATGGGTTATTGTAAATTATATCAACCCATGATAATTACAATGGAATGTTATAATCAATACAACTTATAATTATTATAACACTTTGGTATAATTGTTATATGTATATCAATTTTGAATAAAAAAAATTATTTGGTCGAAATTCTGAGATAATGTTACAATCTTTCAAAATATTTTAATAACTTTATAGACAATNAACTTTGTTTTTTTAAATGGTAACACATATTTTTAATTTAATAAAATGTTTGAGTTTTTAATTTAATAGTAAATGGCATTTGAATTTTTAATATAACTTTATTAGCTTATTAGATATAAACATTTAAAGTTTCAAAATTTTGAGTTAATATACATGTATAATACACATGGGATTGTAAATACAGGTAGCTAATTGGATTTTTATGACATTGCTGTCTCAGTCACGTATTGTTTATTATCAATTATGATTATCAATAGATATATTTTCTGTATTGTCAGTTGGTGTATTTATATACTCATAACAATGTGTCTTACTATCATTGATAATAACAACGCTGTGTACCTGCTAATATCGATGTTATAAAAAACCAATTAGCTACCTGCATTTGTAATCCCTTGTGTATTATACCTGTATATTAATTCAAAAATTTGAAACTTTAAATGATTATATCTAATAAACGAATTAAGTTATATTAAAAATTCAAATGCCATTTACTATTAAATTAAAAACTCAAACATTTTATTAAATTAAAAATATGTGTTACCATTTAAAAAAACAAAGTTGACCCCCCTCTAAGGCATAAGGGATGAACTTAAAAAGTATTACATAGTTAAAAATTCAAGAATAATGTGTAACTAAAAATAATGAAAAAAAAAAATGTTTAAATTATTATTATTCTGTAAGTAATTGAGTGGGTTATGATAAAAAAATCACTCTGTATATTATAATAATATTTCAGTAATGTTACTTTAATATTTTAAAAATATCTAGAAATATTAATGTAATGTATTATAGTAAAGAAAAAACGGTGGCACAGATGGACGTAGGATAGTTGGGACAAGTGTAGATGATATCGGACAGTGATCAAAATTATAGTAATTCAAAATGAAATATAAAATGAAATTTATTTGATTACAATGACTAAAATGATGTAATATAATACGTAACTGGTTAGTCCAGTATGAGCATGAGAATGATTGAGTGACTATTTATTGAATAAAATGATATAATATAATTTTCTCTTAGAGTATGAGTACAAGGGATTTATGAGAAGATATAAAATATAGAAAAACAAAGTGATGTTTGAAAATGTATTAATACAGAGTGGCCCACCACTCACTGACAACTTAAATAACTTTTGATCCAGTTAATATTTTTAGCTGATTTTTTTTTTAAATAATAGTTATACGTTAGGTCTATAGCTATATCTCAATAATTAATTTTTTTACATTTTATTAAAAATATTAATTATTTTTAAATTTTAAATAAAATGTAAAAAAAAAATCTAAGATAGCTATTTTGTAGAGTAGAATTTAAGAAAAATTTTAGTAAAAAAATATCTTATTAATATTCAGTAGTAAATATTCTGTAGCGTTTTGAAGTTTGTGAAAATTTGAATTTTCATGTACTATTTTACGGTATTAAACATTGAAATACGTATTGAGAAAAGGACAGAAGAAAACGCTATCTTTTCATGATTACTGTGTATACATATGATGATAATGTGTATACATTACAAACTTGGCATTAATACCATGATAAGAAATTAGATAAGGCAATTATTACTTATCACTCTCATTCAAAAGTATATTGAAAAGATAGCGTTTTCTTCTGTCCTTTTCTCAATACGTATTTCAATGTTTAATACCGTAAAATAGTACATGAAAATTCAAATTTTCACAAACTTCAAAACGCTACAGAATATTTACTACTGAATATTAATAAGATATTTTTTTACTAAAATTTTTCTTAAATTCTACTCTACAAAATAGCTATCTTAGATTTTTTTTTTACATTTTATTTAAAATTTAAAAATAATTAATATTTTTAATAAAATGTAAAAAAATTAATTATTGAGATATAGCTATGGACCTAACGTATTTTTTTTTTATATAATAGTAATCAGCTAAAAATATTAACTGGATCAAAAGTTANTTATTTAAAAAAAAAATCAGCTAAAAATATTAACTGGATCAAAAGTTATTTAAGTTGTCAGTGAGTGGTGGGCCATCCTGTATAATAATAGTTTGAAATAGAAATTATTGTGATTAATTATCACGCATAAATTATAAATAACGGCACTCGTACCAGTAATTATCAAATCTTGTGCTGAGTGTGAGTCGTCTCAATAAATACCACGAGTAATATAGGACCCACAAGTGGTTTCTGTATCTTCGCAAGAGAGTCATTTTTCGTACTGACCACACAGATAACTCACTCAAAGATTGGACTAGGCTGGTTGACCTAGTACAAATGTTATCGATTTTATTTATTTAAACAATATATTATTCTAATGATCACTTAATTTTTTGATTTCTTTATAAATCTTCTGTGGAATGTAAGTTTACTTTAGTAATATTGAAAGCAAGATTGAAAATAAATATACTTTGATTTTTTGTGAAATTGAAAGTGGAAAAGTAGTAAGTCGCTTTGGCAGTTATTGTGCCCTTTTAAACGAATATGATAGCTATTTTATCAAAAAGACAAAATAAATTTCGAAATTTTAGCTTTGATGCGAAAATTAGAATGTATTAATTTTACCATAATGTGTTTATTTATTTTTATTTTGCGTGTCTGTCAATAATATTTCTCAGCTCTCGCTGGACTGATTTTTTTCAACGATACGTCAAAAGATCACAAATCGTATCTAGTCGAAGACATTACCCTCAAAAATTGAAAAAAATTCCCTCGTTCCCCGTAAACGGGGGAAATCCCCCAAAAAATTACAAATTTAAAAATCGCTAATTTTCGATATTTTTTCAATTTTTTTTACTTAAAATTGCCATAACTTTTTTAAAAATGATCGAATCAATATAAATTTTTTTTTTGTAGATACCATAGATAATTACCNCGAATCAATATAATTTTTTTTTTTATAGATACCTTAGATAATTACCTATCATTTTATATATTTTTGTGAACATTTGACCCTTTAACAGCCCACAGGATGGGGTTTCAAAATGGTAGCTTTTTTACAAAAAATTAACTTTTTCAACTTAACTTTTGAAAATGTTCCGGAAAGACTGACACTTTTATATATACTTTAAATTAAAGCTAATGTAATATACTTTAATTTGAAAAAAAAAAATTTGACCTCTGGACTTGTCTTCATGGTGAAAATGACTACCGTATGCAAAAATATGCTATTTTTGTGAAAAAATTCTTGATATTATATTTTACATTTTTTAACATTATGTTGCTACAACTTTTTAAAAAATGCATAAATCAACTTTATTCTTTAATGATAAATACTTTATATATACTTCTTTCATTCGACATACTTTTTTTTAAAATCGGACCATTTCCCTTTATACAGGGGGGGTGCAAACCTTTTAAAATGCGTATAGAAAGTAGAACTTTTTCAACTTAACTTTTGAAAATGTTCCGGAAAGACTGACACTTTTATATATATCTTAAATTAAAGCTTATGTAATATACTTTAATTTGAAAAAAAAAAATTTGACCTCTGGACTTGTCTTCGTGGTGAAAAC